CTTAGAAGGCCATGTCATTCGAAGTGGGATCATGGCGCTCTCAAAAGCTGCAGACCACTGGGCTTCCATGAAAGTCCGAAGAATGAACTTTACATAGAAAGTACACAACAGCAGATTTATTTAATCTTGTACATAAATTTGTTAAAAAATAAAGACACAATTTCATCCACGCAAGCCTGTTATTGTTTATTTCCAGACATATGCTAATGATATGAAAATTATATGCAAATTAACCACCACTTTAAGACATTTTTCAGGGGAGAACACTGACACTATCAGTGCATACACATTTTTTTTACTGAAAACATATTCAATGTTTAGGACTATGCGACAGGGCTGTGTGATTAATTTCCTAAAATAATGGCATTATCGTATTTACTCTATTAGCAGCTAATAGGTTATCAATTACCAAAATAAGTATTTTAATAATTCAGTATACAACAAACCATGGTATAGTTTGTTTATAGTAATATAGTTGGAACATAAACATATCAGAGATATCGATAATTTTTTAATGAGATGTGCTTCTAATAGAGCAAATACAGTATGGCAAATCTGATGGAACAACTTGTTATGCTACATAGTCATCATACACACCACAAGTATATTGCTGAGGAGAAAATGCTACCAGGGTGCCATCTTGTTCTCATTTCAAACAGATCGACTCAATATTATACCTTCTTTGTCTTGGATCTTTGCTTTGACATTTTCAATAGTATCTGATGGTTCAACCTCTAGGGTTATTGTCTTCCCAGTCAGTGTTTTAACGAAGATCTGCATGATGAAATCCTACAAACAATCAATACAACTGTATTAGCCAAGCCATGTACTCCACAATGGAGACATATATGGGCAATAAAGGGGTAATGTTTGATAACCCTTAACTATTGAGTTGCATACAGTTCAGTGATAAAATCATAAAGCCAGTCATTTCTGTCTCATTTTTCATTCTTGTGACTGTTTAATAAATATTACCAAATGGCGACATTTTTTATCATGTGATAGGAGAAAATAGTGTTCTTTCATTGACTTTTAATTGTTAATACACTTCTGCATTGCAAGCTGGTGGATGCAAGTCTACAAAATGGGCTGAGATACAATGTAGCTCTGGCTACAGTAAAGTATTTGGTATGTACAATTTGTATCACGAAAATTGTTTCAAGTGATTACTACATACCCCTATTCTACACCAATGCCACAGCATTTTTGACAGTATGATTTTTAAGCAATATTTCAACACTAAATGAGGACCCAGTGTGTTGACACCGGTAATTCAGGAATTACTTGTAATGAAATCGCTAAGAACGAGTTGAACACGTGCAAGACCTCATCATTGACTGTAAAGTCTAAAAATGTCACAGTTTGCTGGTCGATTGGCTCAACTCCCTGATTGACATTTGTCACGCTGTAAATACTGAACTGAACGGCGCCATCTTGTATTGTGATAAATATGGTCGCACTCGCTTTATTTTGGGGTTAATTTCATACGGAATTAATGCCATTCAAAGCGCAAGAAATGAATAAATGATTTAGAGAGACATCTGAAAGATATAATCAAAACCGAATTGTGATGAAAATTGTACAGAATACAATAAATACGCACAATTTGACAGTTTTTTCTACACTAACCTGAGACCTACACCAACTCAACACACACAGGTCAATCAAAAGGACGGGAAACTGGACGGGTTTCTTGATCTGACCTTTGACCAACCTTACTAGGTACCGTAGAGGGCGTATTTGTTGAACTATTTACAATGCAGTTCTTTTCATCCATCTGTTTTTATTTACTATTTTTTATAATTCTGATAATTCTAACTTCCCCATAGCTAAACATTTTTCATTTAATAGTTATACATTAACCCCTGGAGTAATCTGGAGGAATTTGATAGCAATTTATTAGAAGTGCGCCATCTAAAGTTAAAATTTTTTAAAACTTCGTTTAAGTTGTTATTTCCTGTTTGAGCCTGGATTGTTGTATTTGCGTTTCCTTCTTCGTATATGAACATGGAAAACGTCAATTACAGACTATCGACATCTAAGTTACTATTAGGGATCATCACATTTTAATGTGACTGTTTCCACGTCTGTCTTCCACTTGACATATCGCGTCGATTTACTTATATCAAAGGTAAGTAAAGTGTTGACACTGACAACATACCTTAATGAAGCATTATCATGTCGTGTAAACGTCGTGCTGTTTGTTTTATTCACGATTGTGTATGAATCATGGCAGCTCTACAATGACAACCAGGAAATATGTGAGAATACACATGAACAATAGTGGTCTTTTATCTCGTATACTTTGGGCAATATAAGGGTATCTTGATTACATGTATGCTGAATGTAAATGCAAACTTCTGTGACGCCATCAACCCGACATGTTAAAATTTTTAGACTTGAGACTTAACAAAAAATGTAACATTTTCTATTCTATTCTATTCTATTCTATTCTATTCTATTCTATTCTATTCTATTCTATTCTATTTATGCCCTAAGCCTAACTTATTCTATTCTATTCTATTCTATTCTATTCTATTCTATTCTATTCTATTCTATTCTATTCTATTCTATTCTATTCTATTCTATTCTATTCTATTCTATTCTATTCTATTACAGCCAATTGATTGGCTGGAACAAAGTCTTATAATTGGTACTAAAAGAGTTACGATTCTGCCCCAAAACTGAATAAACTAGTAAAATTAAGTAGAAGTCCACTTTGAATAAACTCAATTTTGCATAACCCTGATGGTAAATAAACCACCCTTTGTTATCTCTCTATAATAATTTTATTAAAGGGGGAAAAACTCTAGGATTTAATGTTATATTCATGCTCACTGATGCCTCTGGATAAAATATAATTAAAAAAATAGGTCATATGTATCTTTTATTGCTTCATTACACGGGTTTGAAAATGGGTTATTAAGTTGGTGGCAAGTCGCTGTTCTCAATGGCGAGATCTGGCCGTAGAGGGCTGAACAGTTGCGTTATCACACGTATACGCTGATAGTATCCCGGGACAGTATCAGCTCTCCACAACGCCCTTGTTTCGATGGAAAACTCCTGTGTTAGCAAATATGAAAGTGAAACTAAAATGGAATTTGACATGTATGGTACAGTTATAAAGCCATGCCAGTTTGAACCAACATACTGTGCAGGCAATGGTAAAAAATGTCTAACAGAAAGTGAAAGTTCTTCTGATGAATCGGAAGCCAGTGTTAATGTGGACAGACTGAATTGCAGAAAATTGGGTTTGTGTCAATTGCCAGTTGATGCCAACTGTACTGGAGTGCATTTGTTGCCAAGAAATATCGGGATTACCGTAGATTTATTCGTGGTCCGAATCGTGTCATGATCACATTTAGTATCATGGCTGTTATCAGTTACGATTATCATTCAGTATATCTTGCTTCCATTCTGGATAAACCAGGTCATTTTCAAACAATAATTACGTGAATGAGTGAACTTCTACAGTTACTCAATTGCATTGTGGTCTAATTATTATTTCTTTTTTACTAAATACATCCATGCAATTCAGTCGTCCTAAGAATGGACACTGCGAGAAATAACCAATTGTCATGTGCGTGGCGATGTGTGAAATTAATTGGTTCGCACCCAAGATGTGCTAAAATCTGGTCTGACTTGTGTACTTCTATGTACATTGCTATTACATGTATACACTGTTTTCTAGATATAGTAATAATTGAAACAAAATCCAATCAAAAAGATCGCACTACAACATCGGCAAATCTTCTACATGTTGCATTCAATAACATTAACATAGTATCATTAGTATGATAATTTGAACATGTTGGTACCATCCATCATTTTGATCGGTTAATTAGTGATTTGACCTATTAGGTAGATATTCTCCAGCATCGAATGTTTAATATGCAACCGGAATCATTCATTTACGTTGAAACTAAGTTGAAATTTATTTGCATTTCATTATAACGATGTCATATGACAATGCACAGACTTTATATGTTTTGGGTTAATATTCATGTATATTAATGACCTAATTTGTATATTTTTTGACTTTCTGCTGATATTTCAACTACTAATCATTACATTTCAATGAAACGTAGTACATAGATGCCCCAGGATATTGCACAGACCTGATTAGTTTTTGGTTGAAATCCTGTGCAAATTAATGAACTAATCTGCATATTAATTAGCATTTTCATTTAATTCTCAAAAATCATTTCAACGAATTTCAATGAATCTTGAAACACAGATGCTCCAGGATAATGCACAGACCTGATTGGTTGTTTGAAACCATGCATATTAATGACCTAATTTAAATAATAATTAGCAAATTTTAAGCATTTTCACTTGTTTCTCAAGTACCATTCAACAGATTTTAATGAATCATGGTACAAAGATGTTTAGATGACTATATATGGTTATGTGACCTCAATAATATGCATAACTATAATATCTTAAGTACTGTTGCAGATAGGGACATGCAACTGGCGATGTATCACATTATATATGATCATTATTCCATTAAATATTTATAATTAAATATATATTTTACATATTAAACCATAGCTAATTGGAACCAACCTGATCATTGCTTACAGTTACATGTATATTTTGAATTGGTGTATTTGCTCTATTAGAAACGCGTGTGATTACTTTAAATATATAATAAATATATAATAAAGTACATGTATTCCTTATTTGTACGTGATGCCGCCAATACCTTCAACATATGGGAGCTTTCTTTTATCAAAATATGGGGTAAAATTTGGCTGAAATCAAACATTCTTTAGATGTAGAAATAAGAGAACATATTGAAAACATTTATACAGCTATATGTAGATCCCATCAAAATTGTTACATTTTTACATTATTTTTTTAGAGCAGCTCCCAGACTATCGGGGATTTTTATACAATTCATGTTTTATTTCTTTATAATGGTTATTAGTCCCCATTCGG